CTGTTCTCTTTGCGGGGACCAGTTTAGCTTCCAGGATTGAGGATCAGGTGAGCATATCTATTTTATATTACACCCTAGACCAAAACATGAACTTAACCCTTGCAATACAGGGGTATCCCTACTGAAAGGGTTCATTTTTATTCTTCCTGGAGTAGTTCTTCAAGGAATCCAGAGAAAAAAAAAACATAAGTGTTGTCTGATTCTCATAATTAGCAACATCAAATGCCAGACACTCCCCAGGTGACCTATCTTAGCATTTAGTGAATAATAGAAACTAAACTTTTTGCAGGTACCATTGTTTCCCCTGATATCAGTGTCACAAGCTTGTGCAAACTGAATATCCATATTTAACGCCATCCTCCTGTGGCAGATGGATCCTGCCCACATTTCTAACCACTTGGGTAGGATATGTGGGCATAAAAAGCTACAATTACTTGACAAAATGCAATGATAATTTAGTGGAAATGTCAGACTCAAAACAGAGGGCTGAACTAGTTCTCTAAATAATTTACCCAAATATACTACAGCTGCTGGCTCAAAAGGAGAATGGAAAATAAGAACCTGCACAAATTCTTTTAGTGGAAGGCTAAGCCATGGTCTTATTTATTGGAATATGTAAAAAGTAATAAATACGTCATAATTATTGAACAAAATAAAATACTAATGTTATCAATAATATTAATATAGTTAATAAAAGTGTAAAAGCGTTTTTCTTTTTATATCATATTTGGAAAAAATATTTTAAAATGGTTATGAAAGGTATTAATTATTAATAATTTCTCACTTCAGCAGTTTTACAATTAGAGTTTTTTTGCCACAAACAGACAAATTAGTATATTCATACATGTTCTCTAGAGCAGCCTTTCTCAACCAGGGTGCCATGGCACACTGGTGTGCCTTCTGGCCTCCTCAGGGGTGCCTCAACATTTTGTGGTAGTGGGTCTGTGATGTGAACCGGCAATGAAGACTGATGTGAAGGGGGCTACTGATGTAAAAGGGGAACTCTGATGTGAAAGGGAGGCTGCTGATGTGAAGGGGGGTAACTAATGCAAAGGGTGACTCTGATTTGAAGGGGGGAATCTTCATTTGAAGGGGCACTTTGATGTGAAGGGGAAAACCCACTTTTTCGGGTGTTTTTGCGTGGGATCCCCCTCAAAATCTATGACATTTTATACTGGGGTGCCACGAGATTTTGCATACTTTTAAAGGGTGCTGTGACTGAAAAAAAGGTTGAGAAATGCTGCTTTAGTGTAATCAATTCCCTTCATTTTACAAATTTAGGCATATATAGAAATTATTTTTAGAAAAAACTACAAGAATGAAATGGCAAACAAATGTAAGTGTTAGTGTTGCATGGTGACCAATAAGATTTCTTGTTACAGTTCCCAGAGAAAAAAAAAAGACATGTATAGCAAAGTTCTTTTTTCCATAAAGGTTTGATAAGGCTGTGATAACATGTTATGTGAACACAAATATTTATTTATCCTTCACACACACTGGCCTTGAAATCTAGGCCCTGAGAGAAATGGCACACAAACAAGCACTACCACTAACAAAGACAAGAAAGGAGCTGACCAGTGTTTCAGGGGAAAAAGAGTAGTTGATGTGATAACAAATAACATGAATGAGTTTGTACTGTAAACTAATCACTGGATGAACATTTGCCCTGTGTGTTTACACTAATAACCTGAATGGACCATATCGAGTGGCTGGATGTCACCTTGCCTAAACGAAAGCCGAGTCACAAAATGAACAAAGAAGAGCAATGTATAATATGGCAGCCCGCGTACATAAGGGGGTGGCCGGACATGCAGACTTAATCCAAAAAAACTCTGGCTAGTGTAGGTAAATGCTGCAGGCTCAGGCTTATTAGGACAGGACAATACAAATTCAAATAGAGTTTTATTTAGCTTTGAATCCAACTAAAACCTGAACACGAGAAATTGAAATACAGTTTTATATGATAACTTTGAATCTAACTAAAACTTGAACATGAGATTGAAGCTCCACTGTCAATTCATGTCTTTAGGCACCTTATCTACTGCACTGTACACTTGTTCAACCCACAAATGGCTTCTAACTGTTCTAGTGAAAAAAGAAAAGAAAATTGGGCCTCAAGTATTAATCTGTCTGAAGGAATTATATTTTTAGTTGCCGTAATCAAATTCTCTCTTTACCCTGCCTTAAGTTGCCCATTCACATTACAATCTGACTCTATAATCTCTTTTAAACATATCCAATTATGTTGGCCTTTGTAGTCCATACAGTGTGGAAAATAATTATTTGATCTCCTGCAGATTTTGTAAGTTTTCCCTATAATTTTATCATAGGTGTATTTTAAATGTTAGGGACAGAATATCAACCAAAAATCTAGAAAAAACACATGATACAAATGTTATAAATTGAGCTGCAGTTCAGTGAGTAAAATAAGTATTTGATCCCCAAGCAAAACATGACTTAGTACTTGGTGGAGAAACCCTTGTTGGCAAGCACAGAGGTAAGACGTTTCTTTCAGTCTGTGGGAGGAGCCAGAATTATTGTTGGCTGGTAGGGGATCAAACACTTATTTTACTCACTGAACTGCAGCTCAATTTATAACATTTGTGTCATGTGTTTTTCTGGATTTTTGGTTGATATTCTGTCTCTATCATTTACAATACACCTATGATAAAATTATAGACCTCTCATTTCTTTGTAAGTGGGCAAACCTACAAAATCTGCAGGGGATCAAATCATTATTTTCCTCACTGTAGCTGTACTTCCTTCATAACTGAGGTCCAAAATGGTTGGCAGGAACCCCTTTCAGTGACCACTATAGCGAAGATATTGAAGTAGAACTGAAACCAAACTTTTTTTTTTTTTTAGTTTTGGATACAGTAAGGGAGGGTTATAAATCCTGTCAGATTTTGTTTTGCCATCTGTTTCCCATTGGGGAGATTTCACTTCACTTCTTGGCCAATAGCTACAACAGGAAATGAGAGGAAACCCCCCAAAAGTGAGGGACATCTCTGTTTTTCAGCAGTGTCACAAGAACTAGTGTCCCCATTGAAATACTTCCCATCTATTTCTGTTCTGATGACACCCTCAAATTTGGGATTTGCTTTCTCTTGCAGTGATGAGGGTGACTAGGACCAGAGAAGGGAAATCTCCCCAATGTTATAATCCCTGAAGTGTTGACTTCCGTACAAAGTTCCCAAACACTAAATACATTAAAGTGACATTAAACCCTCAGATTTTTTTACATAAACCAATACTGTAATGTGTGCCTAACTGTAATCCATGGTAGTTTCCCTTCTCTTTGCTGCTCTTCCTTTTAAATCCTCATGTCTTCTCATGCTTGGGGAGAACTTCCCTTTGCAGTTGAGTGCCTCTTCCTGTAGTGCTGGCTCAGGTTACAAACCTATACACAGACACCGTGTATCCATTCCTGAGACAAGGCAGTCTGCTGCAAAACAGAAGTTCTGCCCAGCATGAGAAGAGATACAGATTTAAAAGGAAGAGCAGCAAAGAGAAGGGAAACTACCATGGATTACAGTAAGGCTCACATTACAGTATTGTTTTATGTTAAAAAATCTGAGGGTTTAATGCCACTTTAATATTTGGACAGCTAAAACAACACAGAAGGATACAGATTAATCTTCCGCAGCGGCGTATTTCTCTTTACAGACTGTATTGGTTATTCTTAGGGTAAGTAATGTAGTCAAACCTCAACCCCACAACCCCATTCTGTTTACAATAAAATTGTCTCATAGCTGAACGAAACAGTAATGGCTAAAACAGAGTCTCAGATGGGAACGCTAGGAATCCTAAGCACATATAAGCAATTGGCAGGCGCAGTGTGTTTGCCCAATAACTAATTGCTAACTGTTCCACCCTGCTATCAACAACTTTCTGCTTTGTGCTTCTGCTGAATACTGACAGCAGGTCTGCGGGGAAAACATCTTCCCACATGATCACAACTTCATGTAAAATATTTATAAATCAAGATAACTTTATATAATGTATACTCTGTCATACAGGCAAACTAGCCTTTTAGCTTCTAGGTCCATTCATATCTAAGCTCAATAAACCACTCACCCAGGTTCTGCAATGAGGCAGAAAATAGCATTGAACATCATTTACTTTGGGTTTCATAGCTGTATAACAACAGTATGAGAACATCTAAGGATACATTCACACTTGCGACTTGTGTTTTTGTCTTCTATATGCAGAGGAAAATATGTCAATCTAGAAGCTGTGTTTACGCTTCTAGATGTTTTAAGTGACACATGTTTACCTGCATATGCAGTTAGATGCATCTGGTATCAAATCCTATAAAAAGTGTGTCCCATCACACTCCTGACCACAATAAAGACCCAAAGTAGGGTGGGTGCTGCAGTGACAGCAGATGCCTCTGCCAAAATCGAATGGAAAGTCACTCACACTCCAGATGGATATCAAGTCAT